GCGATGTCGGCGCTCAAAATAATCTGATGCTGTCTGAATCTAATGAGGATGGAAAATAGATCGTCCTGAACAACAGGACCGATCTCTTGAGTATCATTTAGAGAATATCCGGAACTGGTTTTCGCGGATCCGTCAAATACAACGCGCATCTTGGTCGTTGTGCTTGTTGCCTTTGTCACCGCATGGTGTGGCAGGTAATAGGCAGGACCGGCCTGCGTTCGAGAGTCCCGACTTACCTGAGTCATATGACCCAGTGCGAGGTATTCGCTCATAAAAGACACGTATTCTGCTTTCAGAACAGGTGTTCTGTTCAATTTTCTTTCCAAGCCGAAGAACCTACGCTCCGCCATGGAATATGACTCGCCGAGCTTTGCCAGGTCCGAGTTAACCGGAATCGTAACAATAAACCGGCCGTCGGAGGCTCGCTTTACCGTCTCATTAAAATGCTCCTCGCACGGGTGAGCTGGAAGGTGACCGAGTGTTGGGATTTGTTCGATATCCCAAAATCGAGTTAATTGTGAATTTAATTGATCATTCATGACTACATTGCACGACTGCGACTCCGCGTTGAGCGACGCCCGAATTTTCCCACCGAAAACCCATCCGAACTGGGATTTGAGCAATACCGGAAGACCCTGTCCCAGGCGTTTCTGTCCTATGCTCATTATCTCCCACAAATGCCCATTCCCTATTAGCATGTCCACATCACGCGGTTTGTCAAAGGATGGATCTGCTAATCTGACATTTGCAGGGATGTTCAATGCTGATTTGGCGATTTTAAAATTGGGAATATCGGAAGTGATTTTTTGCATCAGTATGCATGACATCGTAGTCGAATATCCGTTTTGCCGCGATTGTATTGTAACGCGAGCCTTACCCTGAGCGCGTTTACCTGCGTCCGCGGCCCCTACCCCCGAGATCGCTAATTGGGTCGGTTTACAACTCAAGCCGACAAATTTCGCAAATGACTCTTTTATGATATTTACTTGCGAGCCTTGGTCGAGTAACGCCCTACATTCAAATTGTTGTCCCTTGTCGTTGAGGATATGTATAATAGCCGTGGATAAAAGAACATGCTCTTTTCCCGACGAGTCATGAGTTGCATAACTCTGAGGGGGCGTATTATTTACTAAATTTGCTATACTAACGACGGGATCTGGAACCACGGGATCTACGGTAGGCGTCGATTCATTTTTTAAATGAATCAACGTATGATGGTTGCCGTTGCATTTGTGGCAATTCCCCTTGTTGCAGGTGTTTGAACCATGACCTGGTCGCAGGCAATTAAAACAAATACGGAATTTTTTGACCTTCATAAACCGAGCGTACGGAGTCAAAGCTTTAACCCTTTGCGGTCGGTGCCGCCACTGTGGCGGCATTTCAAAACTGTCGTAGAAGTCGGTGTCGCCGCTGTGGTGGCATGATCAAGAATCCAGAAAAACTGAGATTAACAGAATGCTAGCCATTTCGGACGTCTCACGCGTTATTTTACCATCGAGAAATATATGATAAGTAAATGGAAATCAATTTATAAATAAATAAAAATATAATAAATTATAAATTGAATTTCAAAGTTTAGTAAGAAATAAACATTCCAATTGTTCAGGATTTCCAGGTAGATTCATTGGCGATATTAATATATTTTTACTAAAAAAGATTGTGCAGTATGTTCCGACAGGAAAACCCCCGGCAAAAGGCGAGAAACACGAACATATTGTGATACATGTATTCGGAAGCCAGGGCTTCATATCGGCGATTGTTTTGAAATATATCACACGTTGTCAAATTACAAAAGCTAAATCTTTCCGTTTTTATGTAGTTTAAGCCCTATTAAACATTACAAATCAGCATCAACATAGTGTGTGTTTTTAAATGTAGATATATCCACCTTAAATTGCTTAGGGAACAATGATTCCGAAAAGCTAAATTCGCCCCGACTTGCTGGTAGTCCCAGCCGAAAAATCTGCCGACCGCAAAGAGTTAAACCGTTTGCATTGTGTGAGAGGATGATCCGACGAACATAATGGGCATTCTAAACTTTGCGTGCTAACCAGCGTCATGGGGTGAGGTTGCGGTTTCTGACCTGGGTTCCTATTTTTCGGAGGGAACGGACCCGGAGGTATTACTCGAACTGACTTTATTAGGATTTTGTACTGCTTTTCGAGAAATGTCTGTAAATCTGCCAAAGTTTTCTTACGGCCTATTTCCGCGACCCGTTTATCCCACGCTTCGCTTGTTTTCCGGTCGAGTTTGGTCGCTAATAAATGGACCAAGATCGTGTCCCATTTTTCGACGGGTTCCTCCAGCGAGGTTAAGGATTTTAAATTGTTGTTAAAGTCGTCTAAAAGTTGCCTCAGACTCGCCGGTGAGTCCTTTGGCAACGTCGGCAAGTCGAACAATGCACCGACGTGGAAATCGATTAATTCATTTGTGTCTTCGTAACGCTCGCACAAGAGCTTCCACGCGGCCGTGTAGTTTTCATCTGACATCGGTAATGCTTTCAATGCCCGAGCAGCGTCTCCCTTTACTGCTGAACTCAAATAGTGAAACCGTTCGATATTGCTTAACACGGTATTTTGGTTTATCAATGATTCGAAGCTGTCTCGAAAATAGACCCATTCTCCGACCGTCCCGTGAAAACTGGGCAACGGAACTGACGACAATCTAACCGAGGGTGCCGCTACGGAGGCTGTGGGTGATGCAGCATCTACACGAAACGTCTGTTGCGCGGTAGAGCTCGGATTCGGAACCGCAGCATGCTTAGCCGAAACATGTTCGTGAACCGCGCCTATGATATCGAAATACGCGTTGTCAAACGCCTCGTGAATTTGATTTTGCGTGTGTTCTTCCGGTGTCCCGGCGGTGATCGCATCGATGCGATCCTGAATCGACTCAAATCTATCGAGTAAATGGAGATTTCTGTGCAACCGTTCCTCCAATGCAGCAGCCCCGGTGGTTGCTCGCTGCGTCTCGAAAAATGTCTTAAATCGCGTGAGCGACGATTTAACGCGACCGCGTTCCTCGACTAACTTATTCAAAGTATCCTCTCGTGGGGTGGCCATTGTTCAGCGCAAAACGAGAAGTAAATGAAAACTCGACTCACCGGACGTAGACAGGAATCTGCACAGGACTCGCTTAGACGGCCTCTGCAATTCTCCACGAATCGGTGGTCCTGTTGTCGTGCCCTTGGACTGCTCCTTGGTGAGCTGGACTCGTAGAAGCGTCTGTCACTTCCTGGTCCACTGGATGAAGCGGCTGTCGCTTCCTGGGTAGCTGCACGAAGAGCCTGTCGCCTCCTTGGTAGCTGAATGAAGCGTCTGTCGCCTCGTAGGTTGCTGAATGAAGCGCCTGTCGCCTCGTAGGTTTACTGCCACACTGGCAGTTATCCTCTCTCGTTCACGAACGTGATGGGTCACACGATACGGCGACTGTCCCCGTATCACACTCTTTGCAATCGAGTGTACTCTCAATCCACAATCCGGCTCGAAGGACCAATGTTCGCGCTCGAAATGTTGATGGTCGGATTGGAGTGAATGCGATGTCGTCGTGTTGGAGAGTTTTAAAATGGTTTATTTTTAACAATAACAAAGTGGACTGTATGATATGTTTTCAAGCGCGTTGAACTGTGGGAGGAACTGTTTCCCCCGCGCTTACTTAAACAAAATGCGTTCAACTCAAGTAAAACTGCTGTACTGTTACAGACTTGTTAGTTAGACTTGTTAGACTTAGTCGGTTAACGACTGAAACTCTAAAGAAATGAAACTTGTTTGTCGGTTAACGACTGAAACGAGAATTGAAACTGGTTTGTCGGTTGACGACTGAAACTAGAATGAAATTGTGTCCGGAGTCCGTTTCCTCCTCAGCTTAGATCCCCTCCAAGAGGTACACTTGCGGGAGTTTTGCAAATTCCTCTGTGGAATCGTGAGTCGATTGATTGGCCATCGACTTGGGAGAGGAGGACCCATTTTCCTGCCCCATTTTGGCAGCAAACTCCTCCTTCACCTCGGTGGTGGTGGAAAGTCCCAGGCCACGCTGGCGAGGGTGGTCGAGGTTTCCTCCCCAAGTCGAAGGCCGCGTTAATTTATCGAGGAAGAAACGGAAATCCGGATTATCCACGCAACAAGGGGTTGCGTCTGGTCTACGTCTGTTTTTATGGCTATATTGTTCCGCGTGTCGGCGATGGCCGTTGTCGTCGGTGCCTACATTTGGCCTCGACGACCGTACCACCCGCGGAACAATATAGCCCTTCGCTGGTCAACTCGAGTGTCGCGTTTCTTTCGTTTTCCAAAATGCTATTCTTTTACATTGACATTTGCCAGATGCGACAGACTCGAAGACGTTTGCAACGTAGTACCGATCCCGCATCTGGCAACATAAAGGACCGGAAACAACTCGAGTTGGCCAGCGGAATGAGCGTGCTTTCGTTTACCGAACACCTTACATATGTAGGTCGGTAAGTAAAAATGCTGGGACAGTAGAGACTTGGAATCGTATGTCGATTGTCGCTAGGTCGAATGTCAGCTGTTACAACAGCAAGAACGAAAGACTCACACTCGCCTTTTTTCTCGATTTCCCGAAATTGCGCGAAGTGTCGAGCTTACGTACACATGGCTCGTACGGTAGCATATGTCTGCTATCCCCACCTCTCAGTTTTACACTAAGGAAGTTCGTCGTTTCTAGTGTCGACGACGATACACTCAATTATGCCAAATCTGGCCACACTGCCGCCCGTTTTCCTGCCAAACTTAATATCTAGAAAACATTCTTGTACCTTTGTTCAAATCTGTCCTCAATGGATTATAGTTCTTGTACGTTTCTCCGAATTAAAGTGACTGTCTACAGTTACATGGAGTAAAAATTTTGTATATATTTATTTATGTATTTATTATTATAAAATTAGATTAGTTCATAGTTTAAAAATAGCAGAATAACTTTGTAACATATAAGAAGTTAGGCAATTGAAATCTTTAATAAATGAAACAATTTTCAATATTCAATAGTTGGACGTAATGGACGTACCAGATACTATTCTCCGACGATCTTATGATGATTTGAATGGAGCTAAGAAAGAACTGATAGCAGTCGCGACAGCCTGTGCTAAGGTTCTGGACTCCATAAGCAGCAGCCCGAAAGTAAGGGAAGAGCTTCGGAAACACGGGGTAGTGAAACTTATGGAACGTTTTTTAAAATCCAAGCACACTTCTTTAATAATACCTATGATTGGCTCTGTTCAACAGTGTGCAAGTATGGTAAGTCAAATTTTGTATCAAATATAAATCTTAAACGCTATGAATGTTAAACATTCTAATGTTTCTAAGGCTGGGGGCACACGAGTATTAAAACGATATGTGTTGCGACGAACGTCGATTTCAACGGCCGTTACGGCAAGTCGACACTCGTGTGACCTGGTGCATTTCTCGGTATACAATGGAAAACGTGTGTTGACGTATCCCAACGTGAGTTCTAGCATAAATATGTCGATGAAAAATCAACGCACGTAGCGACGGACGATGAAAGCGACGCACGTTCGAAGTGTGTGGTTTCTAATGTACGACAATGTATTTCTACAACGGACATTGTAACGTCCATCGCAACGCTTGTGGTTTCAACGCTCGTGTGCCCTCGGCCTTAATCAATTAAATAATAAAACAAAATTTTATCAAATTATTTTTCCTATTAGAAATTCCAGTTTTATATCGGAATTGTTTGCTGATGTAGAATCCTGCGTTTATTTCATCAGTGGACACATTTTAGGCACCCCTGCAGTCAATGACCGCCAATTCGTGGCTTGCTCTTACAGTGAGTCACAGCCAAAATTGTACACTACATATGAAAGTATTTTTCAAAGAATATATGTTTTAAAGAAATAAATATTGTTTAACATAAAAAAATAAAGTTACTATAATACAGTGCAGAAAACATCTCACAGCTAAAATCGTACGCTATTCCCCTATCTGGTATTCCCCTCCAGGAATCCCCGAAAAGAAATGAAAAACGTTAAACAAAAGTAGATCACATTGTTTTACCTTACCAGTAAACATGGTATTGCATCGAAGTAAGAAATTACATTGTAATAGCACAGACGAGGTATATAAATAGACCTTTCACGTAATGTAATTTTTCGGCCGGAGTTTCTGGGGTCCCGGGACCCCATTACCATTTTCGTGTCACTCGCAACGTTATCAACAGATTCAGAAATGAACACAAGAGGAAGTGAGACAGAAAATAAAATTACATAAATTTTATTATTTTTTAACGGAATTAAAGCTGTAGGGTCCATCATTGGACATTAATCGATTAATTTCATTGGAGTAATCAATCGATTAAGAGTATTTAAAAATTTCAAGATTATTAAAATTCCTAAGGATGTATTTCATTGATACGTACACCGCAAATTCTCTATTTTTTATTTTAAATTGTAATACATCATTTATTAAAAAAATAACTCGGCAGAAACGTATTTGCGACTCGAAATCAGTTTAATCAGACTGTGCATCGGGCCCCGGAAACTTCTCATTCCTCACTTTCGCACACTATGCCCAATTGCGTGTACGTGAGCTCGTTGAGTTTCGGAAGAGCCGAGAAGAACAGGCTGATACTCGCTTTCCTTCTCGCTCTTGCGTCGCTGACGTCGCATACATTTCTCGAAAGCAAGCCTGCTGGCATCGCCACCCGTTCGAATCGTCAGTAAACGACAAAAGCCATCGTGACTGACAGACCTTACATTTCTCGAAATCGGACCTGGGCGCTTTTTGAAGATTCATTGACTTTCCATACGAAGCGACCATGCGTTATATACATACAGGGTGTTCGGCCACCTCTAGCAAAAATTTTAATGAGCGATAGTAGAGGCCAAAATAAGACGAAAATCAAGAATACTAATTTGTTGGTGGAAGCTTCGTTAAAAAGTTATTAACGTTTAAAGTGCCGCTCTTACTGAATTTTTTTCTCGAAAATGCGCAAGATTTCGGGGGTATGTCTATTCACCAAAAATGACTGTAATTGAACCCTACAACCGAAAATAATTTTTCCACAACGATTTGCAATTTTTTAATTTTCTCGAATAATTTCACACCTTCTCTATTTTTTTTCTCGAAAGTGGGCAGGATTTCGTGGGTATGTCTAATGACAAAAACTGATTGTAATTGACCCCCGCAACCGAAAATAATTTTTCCACAACGATTTGCAATTTTTTTTCTCCGTTGAAAAATTTAGGCACCTAATTGGATTTTCAGTAAGGAATTTTTTTCTCGAAAGTGCGTACGATTTCGGAGGTATGTGTAATGATAAAAAATGATTGTAATTGATCCCCGCAACCGAAAATAATTTTTTTTAAACGATTTGAAAAATTTTTTTTCGCCGAAAAATTTCAGCATCTACTCGATTTTTTTTCTCGAAAGTAGATAGGATTTCGGAGGTATGAGTACTCACCAAAAATGATTGTAGTTGACCCCCGCAACCGAAAATAATTTTTCCAGAACGATTTGAAATTTTTGAATTTAATTGTTAATAACTTTGCAACGAAGCCTCCATCAACAAATTAGTATTCTTGATTTTCGTCTTATTTTGGCCTCTACTATCGCTCATTAAAATTTTTGCTAGAGGTGGCCGAACACCCTGTATACATGTTATACATGCTAGGAACTATAAGTTGTATAACTTTCGTCGTATATCTACTTTCTAATAACATGGGAAAATTTTAAAATATAAAAAAATGTAAGAATACTGTAGAATTTTTGCAATGGAGAATTATTGAAGGAAAATGAATTGATTATTGTTTAAATATCGCGTTAATTGACGGGTTTGAGAACCGTTAAGAGAATTATCTAATTTAACGTGAACCATAACTGAGAACCGTAAATTCCTCGTATAGTTTTTGCTTTCGCGTACACGACATTCCAGAGACTCTCTGATGCGTAGATCGGTACACGGACCAATACAGGTTAGAAGAACCACACACGAGTTTGTTTGCTCTCAGTCACGTGATCGACCCAATACCGTATACTTGGGATCGATCGTCGAAGATCCATAAACAGAGAGGGTATCGAAATATTAAAATTGAGAAGAGATAGATATCGAAGAGCAGGGATAGCGCCGCGAGAGGGTGATTACCCCTTCCGTGGCCGTGACTGCGGATGTCTATTCGCTTCGAGATTCGAATTCTGGTCCTCGCAGCGAGCAGATCGACGAACGAATCCGCTCCGCGACGAAGCCAGATTCTCCGAAAAAGGGTTCTGAGAACACTCGAACCTTTCGTTGAGACTAATCGAATGCTGCTCGCAATTAATTAAATCGGTGAGGCATTTTTCCAGCCCCGATTAAATGACTATATAAATCTCGCCGAATTCTTCACGTAGCGCTTGTGTTTCGCGGCCGTGAGAGGCGAATCGAGGAAACTCGGCTCCCGTTTGTCGAGATTTCAGTCCAAACAGACTGTGGGTTTTCGTCTCAGCTTCACGTAGCGCTTGAGTTTCGCGGCCGTGAAGCGAATCGAGGAAAATCCTCGTTTCACGTATGTCGATAACTCCAGTCACAGCCAAGGGCTAAGGCCCAGTCAGTGCTGACGGCTCCACGGACTGCTGCATTTGACGCGGTCGTGAGAGACTGGTTATATCACGGACTGCTGCATTTGACGCGGTCGTGAGGCTGACTTTCCAACGTCTCGCTGAACTCAGCGGTCGTCGGAAGTACAGTTTCAGCCAGTGGCTACGGCCTACTCAGTACTGACCTTCACACGGACTGCTGCATTCGACGCGGTCGTGTGAGGCTGATTTTCTCCACGTAGCGCTTGAGCTTCGCGGCCGTGGAAGAGCAAATTGTCGCACGTACTGCTGCATTTGACGCGGTCGTGATCGACATTGAATTGTCCGCACGGTTTTGAATTTTCACCCCCAGGGTAACCTTTGGTCGATACCCCGGTGGGCTTGCCGTTTCTCGTGTCGGAGCTGGAGAAAACCGGATTCTTCCCGCTTCCGACACGCTCGAGCAACGCTCCTTGACCGCCAGTGTGTACGTACCCTGTGCGCAGAGCACCGCAAAAGAGCACCGTGGTGTACGCTCCTTTAAACGTAAGACGTTTCGTGCGCCGTTAAGGGCTACACCACACCGCGCCTTGTGCGCATACGAGAACGGTGAGAAACTGCGGATTTGAGCAACATTTGGAGCCTTACAACCTCCACCTGTTGTCCATTCCTGCGGCATTTCAACCATCGCAAAAAAGCGGAGAATTGAGAAATTAAATCTCTTCTTCCGCACTGCGATCGAACGTTTCTCCGTTTACGAGAACGTTCACATATACAGTCCACATAGACATCGCTCAGTTCGACGAGCACGGTCTGTTATTCCCGCTCCTGAGTGCGACTAGCACAGACAGGAGCGTGCGAAATAAAGCGAGACGGGCAACGCGACAAGCGTTACAAGGTATTAAAATCCAGCCTTGTCTTTCCTTGTTACAGACCAAACAACGAGGGCTGAGGGTGAGCGGCAGCCATAGGTTTTTTTCCCCCCCCAACGTCTGACTGACGTCGAGGTGGTTTTTTTTTCCTATTCTTTTTGTTACTAATAAATTAAAATTTAAAATAAATAAACGGCTTGGCCGCGATAAGCGACCAAGCGAAAATATAAATCAAGTGCATCAATTTTTAATATACTTTTTCCTAAAGTCCTTTCCCTCGTAATCCGGACCCCGTTAGGCCAGGATAACTCCTGGCATTCTAACAATTATATACATATGTATATAAGACAACGGACAAATTCAAGGACTTCCAGGAGAATAACCAACACGTGTTGCTCTATGGAAAGAGAAACGACAATTTAAGTGGATTCTCCTCACTGACTTTCTCCTAATCCTATTCTCTTATCTAATGTTCCTTATCGATCACTTAGATCATTTCACATGTGCCTCTTACACAATCTCCCTCTATATCCTGTTTAGAGGGCGCGCTGAGCTACTCAGGCGCGACTAACCTCAATCAAAGAAAGTATTCTTTCTTTACATCTCCCACCCTAAGATGAAAGTCCTTAATAGTACGTGTCCCTATACCAGGTGTCTTTATCCTCGATTTTTTTCAATTCTTTGGGTATGATGCTTACATCTGTACCATCTAGTAAATACTTTGGTGCAAAGCCAGTTATTGAGTGTTCCGTCTCGTTGTATTTTTCTATGCATTCGTGTGCCATTGTTGCCCAAGCCTTCCTATTTTTATTTTCGTTAATTTTACACCTTATCTTATTAACTATTGTCTGGTTT